ATAGCAGAAAACTCGCTTTATGCCTCAGGAATACCTGTACCTGCACACATGGTACAGGGAGTAATGTGAGTACTCCGACCCAGTGAGTAATAAATATAAATAATAACTGAGGGTAAGAAAATACGTTAAGACATACAACACTCTATACAGAAGCAGTGAAATCATTTAAAATAACAATTCAGTGAAACATCATGTGAAATTTCTTTAAAACCAGTAAAAACAGGTAATTTGGCAGTAAAATGACGAGTAGAAATCTACCTCTCGGGCTCAATATCAAAACAACGAGTAGAAATTTGCCCTCGGGCTTAGTATCAAAATAATAAGTAGAAATCTGCCCCTCGAGCTCAGTATCAAAATAATAAGTAGAAATCTGCCTCTCGGGCTCAGTATCTCAGAACAGTATCAGCCCCTCGGGATCAGTATCTCAGAACAATATCAGCCCCTCGGGCTCAGTATCTCAGAAAAGTATCAGCCCCTCGGGCTCAGTATCTCAGAACAGTATAAGCCCCTCAGGCTCAGAACAGTATGAAGCAACCAGTCAATGAAATAAGAGCACATAATTATTATGGCGGATAATGCAGATGAGGAATAAATGCATGAGTGCAATGCAATGCATATGACGGTACCCTCTGGTACCCACTGCGGCGTGCAGCCCGAGCCATCCATATTTATTTATCGTCTACGGTGCTCATTGGGGGTGTGTACAGACTCTGGAGGGGCTCTTACAGCCCAAGCGCAATAACAAGCCATCTCGTGGCATCAATCAAGTCCTGGTCAGTCATTGTTACCTGACCAATTTATATCACACAGTGCCATTATTACCATTGTTTCAAGTCACATCATACAGTGTCATTGTTACCACTATTTCAAATCACTGCTGCGACGCGCAGCCCGATCCATGCTCAGTCCAGAAATCATAATAAGCCCATTGGGCATTTGTAAAATAGTAGTTCTCAGCCCGAAATATCATTTAAAAATATCATTTAAGTTTTCAAATCTTAGAAAGATGGCTGAGTTTGCAAAACAGTATTTAAAACCTTGGACTGAGATCAAATGATATGCATGTATGCGAAAACAGTGATGTCAATCCCTGAAGGATTCAAATAATTGGCAAGAAGCCCAAATGTAACAATTAAATCCAAGTAGAAAACACGGTAAAAACATCTCTCGGGACGGACTAAGTCACAATCCC